CCTGGGGTTTAGAGAGTACAGGAGTGCGTGCCGCTTAAGCACTCGGTGCCACCCTTTGGAAACCCCGTTGTCGGGCTTGAAGCGAGGCAGAGGTCCTAACCGGCGTCTTCGGTAGTTCTTTCCCTTCGGCACGTGAGTGAGGGGGTAGATGAATGTGTGGGAAGTCCCGCACGGTGGGCTTGTTCCTCAGCTAAACTGCTTTTGTATCCGCTGCTTGACAGGAGTGCGTGCCGCTTAAGCACTCGGTGCCACCCTTTGGAAACCCCGTTGTCGGGCTTGAAGCGAGGCAGAGGTCCTAACCGGCGTCTTCGGTAGTTCTTTCCCTTCGGCACGTGAGTGAGGGGGTAGATGAATGTGTGGGAAGTCCCGCACGGTGGGCTTGTTCCTCAGCTAAACTGCTTTTGTATCCGCTGCTTGAAGGTCAGGGTGCTGGTTGTGTTGCTTTCTTGCCGAAAGTTGGAGCATCGCATTGCTACTCAGCTTGGACGAAGTTGCATCCCTGGGGAGGGATGTTTTAATTTGCTGTTCTTTTTAAAGTTGAGGGAGAAAGTTGACTCTGTATTAAGAGTGTAAGTTCTAAGTGCTTGCCATAAAGTCTTTTAAAAAACCCTCCAAACACTATTGATTAATTATGATGTTTAGAGAAAAATACCTTTCTAGCCCTGGTTATGCATCAGTATCACAGGGTAGATGTAGCTAGTGAGCCAGAGTCATTAAAGAACAGGATCTTTGTTAGAATTTTACAGGGCCAGCACACCATAGTCATAGTGCATAGAGAATCTGGGTGTTTGTAGGCATTGTGATTCTTGAACGTTTACAAAGAGCATGTTATGAAACCTCATAATACCATATTTGATGAGGCCATGGTGGAAAAACATAGTCGGAACTGTGGGATCGAATCCTCAGTGGAACCGACAACCAGGAAGACACTCAGAAGCTGCATTCCCATGTGTAGGTTAGGTTTAATTCTAGTAGCTCTTGTGAGGGAGGAGATATTACGACCTTTTTGTAGAAAACTTAAATGAATATATCCTATCTCACTTGCAACTTAATTGAGGTTTTGGGAAAGGAAGATCCTGTGTATGAGAGGATAGGCAAAGCCAATGCCTCCTCTCCAAGAATGTTTTGGCAGAAAGATAGTATAGCATAGTAGGCAGATCAAATACTTCTAAAATTTGCTTACTTACAGTCTTACTCAGTGGAAGTTGTAGCAAATAAGGGGTTGGAGGCTCGCTCGAGTCTAGTCCAGTTGACGTAAATGTTACCTTCTGTTGAGGACTTCAGTGCTGTCCACTGAGAAATACTTAGTTGTGCCTGTCTATTGCTCTGTGTGCTTTTGGTGATAATGATTGCTCAAGTGTTGATACGGCACTCAGTCCAGTGCTTTTGAGATCATACAATGGCGTAGTAACTTTTTAAACCTTCCAACCTTTTCCTTCATCTTTTTCTAGTATGCAGTGGGGCTAGAGTAACACAAGGATTTTAAGGGAAAATTAGACCTGATTGTAGTCCAGTAATTAAATTCCAGATTAATGTTCTTTTATGTATTTGTTTAGAGCTTCTCCACTAGACAGGATTACTTGCTTCAGGGAAACGATCAGATATGAGGAGTATTATCTTTATTGTCTTGGAAAGGGGAAGAATGAATATCATGAGTAGGAGGGCCTTCTCTCATGACCCTTTCTAGGAGACAGGGTTGAAAGACCCTATATGAATCATTGTGAAGGAACAGCTGATAAACTTGGGGAGCTGATTGCTCAAGTAGGCAGATTTGCTTGGCTTATTTTCCTGTCTGGAACAGAAGAGACAGGTAATAGAATGAAGAAAACTTGTAGAAGAGGTATTTGTTGCAGAGGGAGAATTGGAAGAAGAAAGCTTCCGCGAGAAGAAAGCCACACATGAGACATTAAGTGATAAAACGTAAATATCTGCATCAGTATGACTATTAAGAACTCCTCCCACAGAAGACTTGGGAAATAGTGAAAGGAATGGGAGAACAATGGGTAATGCAGCACTGATCTAGTCTGTAGAATTAATGAAGTGGATATAATTTGAAAGCATAGCTACAGCTTGGGTACTTAGCCTGTAATCACATAGTTTTGAGTTCTTAAAGGCGGATGGATATGAATAGTGTGCACTGTGTCTGTCTTTTACTGTGGATGGTTGTTAGCAATTTGGTTTTGGTGGGATTAATTGAAAAAGTGATGATGTTTAGCACTAGTGCAGAGAACACTTGTGCTCTAAAAGGACCTAATTTGAGGGGTGGAAATAATTCTTTATTACAAATGGAGGTAGCCATGCTGGAAGAGAATTAAGATGATGCTTTCTTTTAGAAAAGCACTGCAAATAAATTCTCTAAATTAAGTGAGTAGTTGCTTCTATTCAGTTTAGCTAGTAGCATGACTAGGCAATTGTGCATTTCTTTTTCTGCAAATGCAATTTATTGTTCAATTGCTTTAGCAAGGCAGTAGTGGAGAGGGGGTGGTGTTAGAATGACTTCCTTGTCTAACTTAACTTGACTGTTCTTTAATTTCTTATCACCCTGAAAAGATTTAATATTAAGTAAGATAAAATGAGTAAAGAAAACATAGTTTTTAGCATGAAAAATTGCAAGTCTGAACGCTGTAGTATGTTGAAATTATTTTAAGAGCAACAACTGTGGTTGCATAGAAGGTGCCAGTTATTCTAGTTACATGTTCTGCTATTACCGATTATGTTCTGTACCCATGGGAGTTTCTGGTCAATTCAGCTGTATCTATTGTAGAATGTTAGCTGATGAGTGAAACAGCAGACCTAGGACATACCATTCATTTTTACTGAGCTTCACTGTATGAAGCTTATTTCAAAGCTGCTTAGCTACCCTAGTGACAGAAAGCATCTCCAAGAAAAGTTTTCTGAAGTGTTAGACCAATTTCTCAGTTTCAGAGAAATTATCTACTGTTTAATAATATCTGGAATTTTTTCTAGTCTCTTTTTGTGAAAACTGGAAGGGTTTACTAGGTAAACAAGGCCATTGCATTGGTCAGAAGGGAAGTAAATGTATTGGTGACCATGCAACCTAGTATCCCATCCCAGACACCTGTTGGAGAAACTACATTTTTAGGATTGGGGTATAAGGAAGGAAATTTCCCGGTATGCCGTGGAAGTTTCCAGCACTGTGTGGCTCAGGAATTTCTTGACCTGAGTTTATTAGTTCTATTGAGTTAAAAGTTTCCGGTGGATCTTTCTTTTATTTGGTCTAATAGCTCTTTTGACCTCCTTTTAATTTTGGCTTTTATGATGTCAGGTGACAGTAAGTTTGCCAGTTTGTGTATTGTATGGAGAGTTACTTCCCTTTAATTTCAGCTGGAGCTGTTTGCTCCAGTGAGTATTTCTCAGAAATCATTTCCTGTTCACCTGATCTAGATATTACTCATGATTACTGTGTGTTATCTTTCTGTTCTTCCTAATCATTTTCTCTTCCAAACTGAAATAATCTATTATCTCTTGCCTGTATTGAAGATTTCGTAACTGATTGTATACTTGTTACTTGTCTTTCTCTCCATTTCATTAGCACAACACAAGCGTGATCTGTCCATAAGTATAAAGCGAAATAGCTGCTTCTAATCAGGATGCCGTGTTTTTTTTTGTCTGCTCCATATGTTCAGTAGAGAATTAAGGTTGCCTAAATGTGTTGTGTTAATCTGTTCTTTCTTGAGTGTGATACTTTCTTGTTCTACTAATGTTCTCTGTCCTCCCCACTGCTGGCTGCTGTTGCAATATTTTAGCAGTTTTTTTTAAAAAAACACACTAATGAAAACTTGCCTGTTACTCTGCTGCTTTGCTGCAAACTAAAACAGCAGCCAAGCAGCTAATTTTGTGACTTCGGGTTATTAGCTCAACACTTAATAGTAGCAATCTCTTTAAGCTTTGTTTTTTAGGTGTTTCATGGTATTCAGCTTGGGCGTTGTAACAGCAATTGCAGAGTGGGAGGTCTGGAGCAGTTCCACTGCCATTTCCCTCTCATTCAGTCCATAGCCATAGATGGTTAGATGACTGGGGCACAGGATGTGTGAAGGAGCTCACTTTGGTTGAGCTTGAACAGGGAGAGATTTTAGTTGCTGTCTTCAGCTAGCAAGTGGGAAGACAGCCGGACTGTTCACAGAGTTGCAGACTGAAAGGACAAGGGCCAATAAATACAAATTGCAAGGAGACATAGTCCAATGAGATAAAATGGAAATTCTTTACAGTGAGTATGGCCGAACATTGGAACAGCCCAGACAGGTTAGGGTATCTCTGTCCCTGTAGATGGTCAGAACTCAAGTGGACAGTGCTTGAGCAACTTGATCAACCTTCACATTTGGCCCTGCTTTGAGCAGGGAATTGGATCAGGTGACCTCCAAAAGTACCTTACAACTTGCGTTATTCTATAATTGTAGAACTAGTGTAATCAGTTATATAAGCAGAGCTTATTTTTTTATATTACAGTTGATACATGATGTGGTAAGAACTTACCATGTAGTTGGTACAGAATACAGAAGCTTTATGTTTGTTTGCATAAAGCTGAAACTCTGTTAGAAAGCACTGGAGTACTCAGCCTTTGGCATAGCAGCAGCATGGATCACAGCAACGTTAAAAACATTTTATTCATTGTGCATTTGACATCTTTAAGCTTATTAGATGTGATTCCACTTACTCTTGGTGAAGTGCTGTTGATAAATTTGAGGTTCATCAGAAAGCCGGTTGTAAAAGATTTCTTCTGAATTGGCAGCAACTTAGTGTGCTTCATTGTTCAGACTCCATGCTGGCAAGTGGATCCATCACACAGACATTTAGTACTTCTTGCTAGAGCTGTCTTCACATCCAGATAGTTAGGATTAAAGCAGATTTTTTTTTTCACACATTGCCTTACAATATCTATTTGCACAGGTAAGTCTGCAACTTGTATTTCAAAGGAGTAAGTACTGCCCTATGTAATACCACATCCTGTACCGTGAGGTATGGCATTGTCCATCTGGAAGGACAGTTTACAATTTCAGTACTGCCAGTTTAATGAATAACACTACCATAAAAAAATCTCAGTTCTAAAAGTCTAGCGGACTCGAACCTGGTAATGGTATGCTCTATCAATCTAAAACTGATGTCAGAAAAACAGCCAGGACTTTGTCCAGGGGGTGTGCATGGGGGTGAATGACACATGACAGTAAATTTCAACTAAGTTGTCATTTAGGATGAGGTTTTAAGACTAGTCATTTTATTTATTGCTGACTTACAGATGCATGAAACATGTTTCTAGGACATGCTCTAGTGATACTGTATCTGAGTTTATTCATGGCAGTGCAGGAGAAAAGCAGCCTTTTAGTGACCAAGCGTCTTCAGAACAGTTCTGCTTAATGGAGGAAAATACCCATTTAAAAGGTTAAAAAATGTAACTTAACATTCTGATATTAACTCCCTCAATATTTCACAAGCAAGATATGACTGACTTAGTAAAACAATGGCAGACAAGTTAGAACCACTCCTGTCTGATCATGGAGACTAAGAGAAATGTTGTCAAACAGCAAACTAAAAATCAGACCCGGAAAAAAATTCAGGAGATCATCTAGTCTTGTCCCCTAGCTCAGGGTGGGAAAAGCTATAGTTCAAATGCTTTTGCCCTGTACTTTCTGAAGCCACTCACTGATGAAAGTTGTCATCTACCTAGATAATATGTTCCAGCATCTTGCTATTAGGAAAAGCTTTTCCTAAAGTCTCATCTCAATCTCTTGATGCAATTCAAGACCGTTAGTTCTTTCTCAGTCCACCACTGCTTCTCTTCTTCCTTGAGGTAGTCAGTTATTTAAACACAGCTATTCCTTTCTCTGTCTTTTCTGCGTGAAACACAACTTATTGACTGCTTACAGTAATTGTTCTCTACTTGTTCTAAAGCTTTTCTGAAGAACAGCAACCAAAAACGAATGCAGGGCTGGTAGGCATGATCTGACCTAGTGCTGAGTACACTTGGAGAGTATTACCTGTTCTGCAGCGTTCTATAATGCACTTTTTTTTTTGCATTTACTTGACAGTGTTTTGTTTTGCATGTTACCATCTACTCCCTTTTTCCCCCCGCTTTCTTTCCTTAGTACTATCAAGGAATCTGGCTGCTACTTTATCTCTCTTCTTGATGTTTTTCCATATGGCAGTTATTCTCTTGGCTTTTGGTATCTGTCAGGGATGGAGAAGTCTGCAGCTAAGTAAGTTGTATATAGGAATTTTTTCTTGAGGTAATGAAACCTGCGTTGGAAGGTCACTGTGATGTGGGATGCTTAATCTGGGTGCTGTTAAATAGCCTCTTTAAGTGAGGAACATGTAAAATGTAGTAGTGACAAAGCCATGTAGAGCTAGGCCTTCAAAGCATAATAACTGAGACTTAAGTTGTATGTATCCAACAGTCGTGTGTCAGATCTTGTGAAACCTTTGCACTAGCATTGTGTCTTTCTGTTGTAGGTGAAAGAACTCTTCCGCTCTATGCGTGTGGAGTACTATGCTTTGGAACTTGATGTAACAGGTAAGCAGAAAAAAGAAAATCTATCACGTGCTGTTTAATGTAACTAAAAAAGGGTGACTGTGCATGACTCCTTAAGCTGTCTTCAACTAATTGGAGGCTATATAAAGCAATTAAAATCTATTTAAATATATGTAGAAATAAAAGCAATTGGGCCTCAATGTAGATTTTAATACAGGGTGTGTTTTTAATATAACTTAAGGCTTTGACTCTTTCTGTTCAAATTGTCAACTGATGGAGGATGTGAGATCTGTTTTCTCTCTGAGCAGCTCTGTCTTTTAGGAAAAAGCCTGTGGTATTTTTCTCCTACCTCGGGTTCTTCTGTGGCTTTAGATGAATTGTTAATATTTGACTTGGTATGTGTGTGACCTTCACAGAGAAAGTTGCTGAGTCATTGGAAAGAAGGGTAAATTCCAGTACTTTGGCTGTGGCTATTTTGAGGGTGTTTTTTAAAGCCCATGCTGCTTTAGTTCTAGTACATGTAGTGCCTTATGCATATATGTACATAATGCATGTAGCTTTTAATGTAGCTTTAAGAACAAGTGTTTTCTACCATAATTATTGATAAACTCTTAATTACACTCTTGAGAAGTTGTTGAATGTGTTATCAGTTTTTTTTCTGTACAAAACTTTGTTTCCAATGCTTTTTTTAAGTGCTAATGCTTTTTTGAAGTGTTTGTGTCTAAGCAGTGTTGGGGGAAAATGTACTTACTTGTTGATCCATAGTATCTTTTCTTACTTGTTTTTACTTTTTATGTGAACTAATTATCCCCAAGATATGCAAAGTACAATGCACAGTCTTTTTTTCTGGAATTACTCCTTATTAATAGTTTCCTTTGCAATTGCTCTGATTTTAGTCAAAATTATTAATGTAAGTTCTCATTCCCACATTTACCACTGCGCAACTGCTGAGACATCCAAATTGACCCTGTGTATAGGTGCTGATGATTCAGATAACAGGTCAGGTCATACAATGATAATCTTAAAACTGGAAGGTTTAAGACAGTGTGGTGGGTGCGTTAGGGTAAGTAGAAGAGCACATGCATTCTTCTGATCCCTATATTCTCATAATACAAAGCTGCTGGGTAAAACTGTGTGCACCTACACAGAACATACTCCAAAACCAGACAATTCTCATGAAAGAAAAGCTGCCTGTATGATCTCCTGTGATATCTGGAAAAGACTTTTTTTGCGTAGTACAAAGTATGACACTGTCAGGAAGAGACTGATAAGAATCAAAGAAATACAGGGGCTGAACTCTCTTACTTCAACTTTACTCCATTCTGTAGAATTAAAGCTTTGAGCACCAATTTATCCTCGATATTTAGGCATGCTCTTTTGAGAAGTAGTTTCTGAGGACTTGCTTATGTTCAGGAATTCTCCAAATGTGATGCTTATAATAGAATTGTTTTCTTGGCAGACCTACAGTCCACCGCAGTCCAAACCTTTAATACTTAGGGTTGTTTTAAAAGCTCCCTTCTTGAAAATTGTTCTATAATGTACCTGTTTCTTTTATTCTTAGCTGATGGACCCAGTATTCAGCAAGTGTTAGTAGAGCTAACTAATCAGAGGACAGTGCCTAATGTATTTGTGAATGGAACTCATGTAGGTGGCTGCGATTCAACTTACCAGGTAACTTTTCTCTAAAAATCAGCTGGAAATAGACAAGCCTAGTGAGTGAATTTGCGGTTTAATCATAGTTAAATTGTGTGACATGTTAGACTGGGTGATCTAGGTCAGAGAAGGCAATGTCATTCGGTCTGCTCAGAAATTTGTGCGGTAATTTGATTTTGTTGTTATTTTTTTTCTCCCAGGCTTATCATGATGGATCACTGCAGAAACTTCTTGGGGATAGCAAAGTTGCAGAACCCTATGATTATGACCTCATTATTATTGGTGGTGGCTCAGGTGGACTTGCGTGTTCCAAGGTATGATGTGAAGATTGTGTTAAAGAACAGGTTGTATATGAAACTTCCTCAAAAGTTAGTCTTGCTATTAATCACAATAGTATAGAACAGTCTATATTTTGATAATTACTACTGTTCAACTTCTTAATTAATTGAATCAGTAGTGGTCCAGTAATGTGCTTACTCAGGAAATCATGTTCTTTGTGGATCAGTTTCTAGCCAATGTCTCTTTAGATCTCGATCCTAATAATAGGTTTTAGGTTCCTGGCTGAGGGTGGAACCAAAAGTTTAAGTATCTCCTCTTCATGTGTAGTACACAGGCACTTTAACACTTCCAAACACTTCCAGTAACCTGGAAAACTTAAAGGCTGCACTTGAAGTACTTGTGACTGTTTAGGATTCAGGATCACCAGTCATCTAAAACAAAGTGCTTTCAGCTGTTCTCTCAAGGAACTGGTGACTCTTTAGTTCTCTTTCTAGCTGCTTTTTCAGAAATGGTAATGAGATTGTGTACCTCTTATACAATTAGCTGTTGTTCAGAGTGCCTCAGAACCTAAGGAGTGGATTCAGTTTTCTCTTCTACCTGAGGGATTTGAACACACACTTCCCACCTTTCAGCTAGGTATCCTAACTGTCAGTTTATGGTTTGAGCATGGTGATGTTAGTCTTTACAGCCTTGGTGAGTGCCATACAACAATACAGGTAAGTGTGCAGCTTTCACTAGATAAGTATCAGGCAGGCAGGAGAAGGTGGCAATTGAATTCTTCAATGGGCCAATTAGGCGTTTTCAGAATGCTCCAGCTCTTTGCTCACAGTGCCTTCTGGGACATCAGTTGTAAACTTGGTGATCATTACCGAGCTGTTCAGAGTAGGAGAGGTCAGGTATTCACAGAATACAAGATAGCTGGCTGAACCTTGTTTGAGCCAGGATTGCAGTAACTGCAGGAGTTTTTAAACCGATTTGAGGCACCTAAAGATTTGATCCAAGCCCTTGATCGAATCTGCCTATTGTTTGATCTTTCAAGTGCCTGATAATTGCTTGGATAGAGTATCCTAGGATTGGAGTGGACATTAGAAGGATGTCTAGTCTAAACTCTACTCCAAGCAGGGTCAACTATGAGGTCAAACAAGTTATGCAGGACCTGACACATTTGGATCTTGAAAACAGCCAGGGGTAGAGATGGCCCAGGCTTTCTGGGAAACCTGTATCACTGCTTGAGTGTCCTCTTGGTGTGAAAGTTCCTGATCTCTGGTCTGAAACTCTCTTGTTTCAGCTGATGGCCGTTGTCTTTTGTCCCTCCACTGCTTGTCAGTGTGAAGAGCCTGACACGGTCATCTTAATGACCTCCTCATAGGTATTGGAAAGTTGCCGTTGAGTCCTGTCCAAATCCACCTTTTCTCCAGGCTGAATGTGTCAAGTTCTCTCACCCTTCACATAAGGTGTGTGCTTCAGCCCCTTATGCACCTTGATGGTCCTCCATTGAACTGTCTTCAGTTTACTAACATCACTTTTTTCCTTCATGAACATGC